AGCCACGTTGTGATCCACTAGTGAGGTTGCCATCTCGGATGGAGGCATCGCAGTCTCCCTCTCTTGCTCGCTCTGAACTTCGCGCGGACCAAAATAAAAAGATCGCCCGCCGTCATGTTTGGAGCTGCCACTTCCGTGTTTGGAGCTCCAAATGGCGGCGGCACTCCAAACACGGAAGCGCCAGCTCCAAATGTGGCAGCGGAGTGGGCAGAAGGGAAAGCAACAGCGACGGGTGCCAAAGGTGTCTGCAGCAAAGGTGTTTGGTGGGAGTAGGGAGCTCTCTGCGCTTCGCCATGATCACCCGTTAGGAGCGGCTGGTGGCGAGGAATTCCTGCCCGCTGGGCGCTCCTAACGGCAAGTCTCCCGCCCTTCCCCCTTATTTTGCATATTTTAAGATAGGCCTAAATTTGGGGGGAGGGGCTTAATTTGGGAGGAGGGGCTTAAACATGCTGGGCCTTCCTATTGGTGGAGGCCGTATTGTTGGAGAAACACAGTAAGGTACCCTGGAATTTAAACTAAAAAAAAAGTAACATTGTTCCCAAAGAAGACTGAAGCAGCGAAGGAGAGACAAAAGGGAAAGGATTTGTTTTTTTCTTCTTCTCTCCTTTTCCTTATACTGACAGCTAAGAGATCTAAATAAGAAATTGGGGGGGGAAATCCACTTTGACATCAATAGGCATTTAAGCTGAAAATAAAATGTCAAAGGGATAATAAAGATTTCTGGATACTTAAAACCTTTTAAAAGCAGGAAAGGAGAGAGAAAGAATAAAAGGGCAGGATCTGGAAAAAAGGGAGGAGACTGCCTGGAATTAAAAGGGATTCACAGTAAAACCTCAACAAGACTTCTAAAAGATCCATTTTAACTGAAACTTGGCAACAAAATAGTAGAACCCCAGGAAGAGAAAGTGGAAAAAAGAAGCATGAAGAAACAGTTTGGGAGTATTTGGATTATTTGGTGATCTCTGGATTTTTAGTTATTGCATTTGAATGACTAAAATCAATCGGGTGGTTGTTTAAAAGTGTTTAAAATGGCACTACTTTTAGATGAACTGAAAATGGAACTTAAAAAGTACAAAGAAGATGCACAAGAAGGGAGAGGTTCTTTTGGCTTCGTATTTCAATTCTTAGAAATGGAGATCTCGAACTATGAGAAACAACAAGAAATGCCTGCAGAACAAGAAGACTGGGACAAAGAAACCATCTTTAACGAACAAGTAATTTTATGTGGGGGGAAAAAAGGAAAGGGGGGAAAGAGAATGAAAAGTTTAAGATTGGGAAAAACAACCAAGAAAAGGAATAATAGCTTGAAAAATAAGTATAATATTAGAAAGCAACAGAAGAGGGGAATACAGAAGAGAGAATTAGAACTAGAGAGACAAGGGGTAAAAAGGGGAGGGAGAAGAAGAGAGGGAAGAAAGAAAGGAAAAGAAGTTATAAAGAACAGAAACAAGATATGGAGAAACAAGGCCTATTTAGAGATAATGGGTGAAAATTTAATTGAAAAAGGGATTCTGCAAAGGTACATAAGATAGTATTGTTATATTAGAAATAGAAATAATTTTAGAAAATATGAAACAATGTATGATTAAAATGATGGATAAAATAGTTATTGTAATCTAGTGAAATGTTTGTTATTAAATAAATGAAATAAAATGAATGAGAGAATTGAATTAGGAAAGGATGGGAACATATTAATTGTTTAATGTTTTATAAAATATAAGGGAAGAGAAACAGGGGAAAAAAATTAATTATGGAAAGCTTATAAGTGTTCCCAAGGAAGTATGATATTTAATTGAAAAGTAATGTCAAAGATGTTAAGACTTCAAGGAATATTAATGATAGAACTGAATTGGAATGGAATGAGTGTTTTAATTACATATATTTATAATCACTTTTTAAGAATATAGTGTGTATTTTAAGAATGTACCAAGCAGAATTCGATTGGAAGTTATGTATTATATTGAATGTTATAACCTCAAGGTATATATTGAAGCTTAAATAAGAGTTGAATGGATTAAATTAAAAGATATAAAGGTGTCATACTCCAATTAGTAACTACAGGAGAAAATTTGTTTAATGAGAAAAGAAAATATGAAATTGAAACAGGACAGACAAAAGTATAAATATAATGATTCGAATTGAGATGAGATAATTAAAATAAAATTGAGAAAATTAAGAGAGGAGAAAAACTATGTAGAAAATATAAAACAGTAATAAGATATGGAACAGAACATAAAAAGCGAGCAATGAAATTGAGTTTGTGTCTGTATGAAGAAGTGTAACCCGGGACCATGCTATTTTCACAAAAAGATGTTTATTTGTATTATGGTTTTTTGTGTGTGAAAACCCAAATAAAATTTTCAAAAATAAAATAAAAATGGTAAAGGTTCTCCTGCTTTGGGGCTGAACTAGATGACCTACAAGGCCCCTTCCAACTCTGTTATTCTGTTATGAAGACCTCCAAGGTCCCTTCCAAGCTCAATTCTGATTGATGAAAAAAGAACAGAAATGTGCATTTATGCTGAAGAGGAAGCCATGTGCCCCAGCCGGAGAGAGAAAAAAGACTCTCTTAATCCTGACAAGGGCAGCTCCCAACCCCCTGTGGATGGCACACGCTGGGTGAGCATCATCAATAATTACTGGTTCATTTTTTTTTTTTTAAAAGGAGCCCTCCTAGCAGTTTATCCACCCCCGCACAGCTGTAAATTACTCATCAATCCTTAATGCTGGAGTGCTGGGCTGGGGCTGACTCAGCCATCACTCTGTCTCGGCTACCACCACGACCTCCTTCCCCTCCTGCTAGGAAGCCTTAATTGAAGCAGAAGTCCCACTTTATCTCACAAGGATGCGCTGGCCGGCCGAGAAGGGCCGCGCGGAAGAAGCAACGGCTAGTCCGCAGTCCGTTGCACACTTGCTGCCTTCGTATGTTTAAAAAAAAAAGAAATATGTTTAAAAAAAAAAAACAGCGCTTTTTCCAGAAATGCTTGTAATAGTAAGTGGCAGAAAAGGCAACGCAAGGGGGAGGACGAGAGAACGGTGAGGTCTGTGGGGTCCTGAGATGGGTGGTTTGCTGGTAGAGACGTTTCGTGAGCCAGCCAGGTAACATCATCAGTTATCAGAAGGGAGTGGGGTTTGCTCCCTTGGTTCTATACAAGTGGCTTGGGTTGGTGGGGAGGGTTCTTGGTGGTTCTTTCATTAGGCAGATGAGAGAGAGAGAGAGAGAGAGAGAGAGAGAGAGAGAGATATTTAGGTGATAGATAGATGATAGAGTTCATAGAGAGATGGATATAGAGATAAAGAGATGGATGGATGGATAGATTTAAGTGATAGATTGATAGATGATAGAGGTGATAGAGAGATTGAGATAGAGATAGATAAATAGATGGATGGATGGATGGATAGATAGATAGATAGATAGATAGATAGATAGATAGATAGATAGATAGAAATATAAGAGATATAGATAAATTATAGAGATGATAGAGAGATGGAAATAGATAGATCTTTTCTTTTATGTAGACTTGAGAGTATATACACCAAGACAAATTCCTTGTGTGTCCAATCACACTTGGCCAATAAAGAATTCTTCCTTCCTTTTCTTTTCTTTTCTTTTTTTCTTTCTTTCTTTCTTCCTTTCTTTCATCTATCTATCTAGATGATGCAGATGATATAGAGATTATGTATGTATGTATGTATGTATGTATGTATGTATGTATGTATGTATGTATGTATGTATGGTATTCAGCTTTGTTTGGGTATTTTCCCATGTCATTATAGTTGTGCTTTTAAAGTTGTAGCAACGTTTCAGCAGAATCTCATCTGCCATCATCAGGCTTCTGTATTGTGTTCGTCTGATGGCAGATGAGATTCTGCTGAAACGTTGCTACAACTTTAAAAGCACAGCTATAATGACGTGGGAAAATACCTGAACAAAGCTGAATACCATACATATAAATACCTGCGAAAACTTAAGAATCTCAATCTCAGTGTGTGTGTGTGTGTGTGTGTATACACACACACACACACACACACACA